TTTTGAAGTAAAACCTTGGATTTTTATCATCATTTGGGGGGGAACAGTGTCAGTGACCCCAAATAACCCAGTCACAGACACATATAGGGTACCAACTGTATTAGAATCTCCCAAGACAACAGTTGTTTAACCATGATGTCATCTAGAAAGTTTTATATAAATGGTTAGAAAATAAGAGGCATGGAAGAGGCAGAGAGATGGCTCAAACACCAGCACAGGGTTTATTATTTAGGCAGGAGCCTTGTGGAGGGAGACCTCAGCAAGAGAACTAGAGCCCATTGCCATACACAGGCTTGGGCTAGATATAGGGGGCTAGTGGAAAAGTACCAGGAAGGTCACTAAGGGATATTGTTGCTGGGCAACCATGAAAGATAAGTTGTAGTTAGGTCACTGTCTGCCCATCTGTCCTTGGTGTCTATCCAGGGAGATAAAGGTAAGCCATCTGCAAGGGGAAGGGGATGTAGTCCTAACATAGCTGTCCTTATTGTCAACCCCAACATAAACCAACTCCTAAATGAACATGACTCAGTTACTTTAATAGTTAAAACCCGGACAAAAACACCAGGGAACACAGGTAAATATTTATGGGGATAGGTGTGGAGTTAGGAAACCTAGTGGCCAAGAATCATGGCTCAGATGTTGATAAGGGATCACATCCCAGATTGTTGACATTAACATATGGCTCATGACATATAGCAGGATCTCACCAACCTGTAGTCAATGGAGACTCCCCTAAAATAACAGGCCCAATCTGGCTGTCCCAGGCAAAAATTTTCTCCACCTGCCATATGGAAGGAGTAGGACTAACGTCTCCACTCTGTTGAGTCCAATGGAAACTGGAGGACTTGACTTCCAGTGTAGTGCTCCTTTTTGAGTTTTTTTTTTAATCCTATCTGGAGGTGCACTTTGGCTTTACATAAGTAAATTTGTTTTAACTCTCACATTAGTGCAGCAGTATTCCCTGTGCTCAGCTGCCTCTTGTTTTTCTGTGATTTCATAAACTCTTGTCTTGACAAATTTGTGGATTAACCTGTTGCACCAAAAATTCCTGGTAGTTATCTTGGTAAAACAAAAACCATTTTAAGACAGTTTTTTTTGTAAACGTTATCAAGAACAATACAATATTTTAAAGATAGCCTTGTTGTTATGAGCTTAGAGAATTAAGTTTTTAGTTTAACATCAGTACATTAAGTTTTGACCTTATAAAAGCTTTAATGTAACTGGATTTCAGTTAATCACTTACATAAGCATCTATAAGCTCCATCTTTTTATAACAACTTACTCTGTACCTTTATGACAACTTATTTTGTATGCCCTGGGGGAGCTTGTCTTTATCCTTTTTTTAATCTAAAAGTATTGTTTTTACCTTTTATTTTTTAAAAACCATATCCTTAATACCTTTTATATATTTTTGTTACTTGTTGAAAATAACTCATAAAATCTTTTAATTTAGAGCCTTGCATTTGTATGAAAAAACAAGAAAGCAACCTTGAAATTATTTTTGTATAAAAGCAATTTGTAGAAAGCCCATTTGTTAATAGACCCATATATTATAAGAGAGAATTTAATTCAAGATTGTATTTATGACAGAATGAAGCATGTGAAGGTAATTTCTTTACCCAAATTCCAAGATTTTTGCTCCAGGCTGTGGTCCCCCTTTTCTTCTTTGTTTTTTCCCTCTGGTCTGAGCTGGAGTGTTAACCCCTCAATGCCTGCATCTTAGTGAGACCTGATTGAAATAAGTTTGAAAACCTGTTTTTTTGAAAAGTAGCAGCAGAACAGAGTAATAATTTTTACATTGCCTCTATAATAAGAACTGTTCTCAAGATGTTTACATATTTATGTGTAAAAAGCCTAAGCAGTTTATAACAGAGATCTTTAAAACAAATACCCTAATTTTTGTTACCTTGAGTATCATAATAATCTTATAGCAGCAGTTTAAGAACCATTTTGAAGATGCTTACATACCCACACACACACACACACAAAACACACACACAACACATGTTGTGAGCACACCATTAGATGGGTGCATAATCTGACCAGCCATTAGCAAGGGAAACATAAGCATCTCATGACTGTCTCAATAACAGACCACACTTACTGCACCAACCTTTGGGAACAGTTTTTTTGTTTACCAGCAACAAAGTTGCTCTTTTTTTTCACCCTTTTAGGTAGGTTCTCCCTGTTTATGCTCCCTAGAAGGTGCCAGCAAGTTCAGTGTTTCTGGCATATTTTAATAATCTTAAATTGTTTTTATTTACTTTTTATTTTCAAGACATAAAAACTCAACTGAAGGAGTGTATTCAACCTTTCATCCTTTTCTGTCTCTAAACATTTTATGACATTTTATTTTTTCTCTCTCCCCTCTTTTTCTCTCCAGTCTCTCTCTCTCTCTCTCTTCTCTCTCTCTCCTCACTTCATCCATGAAGACCTCATCCCAATTTTGTTTCCATTCCTCCACTTATCTCTCTACATTCACAACCCTTCTGCAATGTTCCTTTTCTTTCAAGTCAGACCAGATCTTATGTATCAGTGCAAGTCCATCCTTCATGTGTTAATTTTTGTAAGAACTCAGTGCTGAGCCTCAGTCCTCCTTCAGGATGCCCATTTTGGGTGAAGATGTGCAAACTGGGGCACCAAAGCTACCCATCAAGGCTAAAAGACTCTGATTTCTCCTCAGTCTGTAAATTGCTACCTGGACTTAAATAAACAACAGAGTCTGCTTTTTGAAGACCAATTTTAGCCTCTTGGCTGTTCCCATTCTCCTGGATGTTAGGTTTGTTTTGTTTTGTTTTGTTTACAATTACTCTGTAAACTTCATTAATCACAGTTTTATCTAGTGACCCTTCTGGGGGCCATCCTACACCAAAGGCAGGCCTATCTACTTTACAAAGGACCTTTAGCTTGTTAGGAGTTAACTCTGTAGTCTCCATTAAATCCCTTTTTAAAGTTATTAATCATACACTCCAAGGGAGTGTTTTTACTCTGATTTCCACCCATCTTTTCCTGTTACCAGACAGCCAGACAGACACAGAGGGGGAGGGAACTCCTCACTTACTTCACAGCTGGGCTGCATCTCAGCTCACATTTTCATATACTCTCATACAGCACTGTACTTCCATACCACTCCCTGAACTTGAGAGACACGGTTTCACCTCCAAAAAGACAGTTACTAGGGTGTCCCATTGGGAGGTGATCAAGCTCCCCTACTGCCTCCTGGGGCAAGACTGAATTTGAACCCAGGTTCTTACCAGTCTGATGAGCAGTGCTCCCCTCTCCTCGCTGGTTCCTGTGCTTCACTGGGCTCCATTGTGCATCCAAGGCCCTCACCCGACTTGCCAGGAAGATGAATCCTCCTCTGGATCAAGCTGTCCATTGGCACCTGGTGGGATCTTCTCCTGGCAGTCCAGGAGGATGCACCCCGGTGACAAAGGAAGTGATAACTCACCATCTCTGCCATCATCCTGGGGGATAATGAGCCCCCAGGAAATGTTGCAGGAGTTTGCTAGCTGAGATACAGGATTCTTGAGGCAATTAGCAGGAAGTAACATTTTATTGTGCCAGCACAGACTCAGTGAACTCATGTCCAAAGTCTGAGCCCTGAGAACAAAGGGGTCTCACCTTATATACACTTACAAGCAGGTTAAAGAAGCAAAAAGCAAGTTCTAGTCCATATATGGTTATATTTAATTTTATTGGCTACTTTACCCTAGTGCTACATGACTTTCTCCTCCCTGGTGCTACATTACCTTCTTCATGTTCAGATTTCTCAGGTTTTATCTCTCTGCTATGACATCCCTACCTCCCTGCTACTTTCTCAGGACTCAGGGCTAGTCTGCTTTCTTCTGATCATCTCTCTGCTTACAGCATGACCTTTTTCCTTCAGTGGTAAAATAGAAACTGTATAAAGCCATCAATGGCATGAGGCAAAAATCAGTACTGTAGAGAAGATGCGATGTGTTGCTGACAGTCTCTTGCTGGGGTCAGTTTAGTTAAAGTCACTCATTGTCCAAATCAATTTTACCGATTTTTCTGTCTAAAGATTCATGCTGGGCTGGGTTGTAGCTCAGTGGTAAAGAGAGCTTCCCTAGTGTGTGTGAAGCACTGGGTTTGATCTGCAACTCAGCACTTTGGGCCTTAGTTTTAGCCTATTGGTGATGGACCGTTTGATACAAATGAAAAGGTATAAATTGCTTTTATGAACATTTTATAATGCTGAAGAAAACAGTAGGTAGTGTCCTCTGCTTTAAGTAAATACAACATAAGGATGTTAGATTTAGAAGTAACCTAGGGGAAGACTATTGGAAAATGAAAAAATGCTTCAACATAATTAACTTTTTTCTGGTGTGCTTGTTTGTTTTGTGTGTGTATGTGTGGTACTGGAGTTTGAACTCAGGGCATCATGCTTGCTAGGCAGGCACTTTACCACTTGAGCCACTCTGCCAGCCGTTTTTTGTGATTTTTTTTTTTCAAGATAGAGTCTCATGAACTATTTGCTCAGGGCTGGCTTCAAACCAGAAGCCTCCTGATCTCTGCCTCCTGAGTAGCTAGGATTACAGGTGTGAGCAACTGGTGCCCGGCCTCTGGTGTTTTTTTAAAAAACAAGTTATAGTTCATGTTTCAGAAAACATCAATCTCATTAATCCAAGTCACATCTGCTTCACTGCCACATACACAAGAGTTTGCTACCTGGGTGCAGGTCTATTTCCTTAAAGGATCTGTTTTGTTTTGTTTTTTTGGCAGTACTGAAGTTTGAACTCAAGGCCTCATGATTGCTAGGCAAGTGCTCTGCCACTTGAGCCACACACCCAGCCTTTTTTGCCTTTTAGGTTATTTTTGTAGATAGGGTCTTGTGGTTTTGTTTGGTGTTCGCCTCAGACCACAATCCTAC